TCACCAGTATAATTCTGAAAACAAACCACAATCAAAGCAATGGCTACCAAGAAGTGGAAAAGGTTCAGTCAAAGCAAAAGTGCACCAGTCAAGAGCAAATGACATTGCAACAGGTTTTTGGTTTTTTTTAAGATACTCAAGATATTTTGCTCATTGACTTTCTGGAGGATTAATAATGATAACATCTGCTTATTATAAGAGTGTTTTGGGAAAGTTAGCCAAAGCTTTGGCAGAAAAATGCTGGGAAAGTTTCACCAGAGAGTCCTTTTCCACGCCAAGGTTTCTACTCATTACTATTATTAAACAGGGGCAATTTTGTGAGTTTTGATGGGAGATCATTAGGCATCCACCTTACAATCCTGATTTGTCTCCTTCTGACTTTTTGCTTCCTAATCTTAAAAAAAAAAAAAATCTCTAAAGGATGCTGGTTTTTCTTTAGTTAATAATGTAAAAAAGACTGTATTGACATGGTTAGGTGCCCAGGACCCTCATTTCTTTAGGGATAGACTAAATGGCTGATATTGTGGCTTACATAAGTGTCTTGAACTTGAAAAAATAAAGCTTATATTGATAAAGTTTATATTTTTGTTGTTATATTTTAATTCCATTTTCCACAAAGTTTTTGAAACCCCCTCATACTTTATGACAAGGGGGCAGATAGTGATTTTTAAAAAAATATGCCCATAATTTTTTGATACTTCTGAGTGTGGGCTGGACTTAGTACATGCTTCTTATGAAGAGAATATGGTAAAAGTGATAGCACATCTCTTTCAAGATTAGTTTATAAATAAAGACCATGACTGCTATCTTGGGGGCTTTCCCTCAGATATTTGCTCTGTGGAAAACAGCTAATGAATAACCCTATGGGAAGGTTTATATAGCAAGCTGCTGAGCTTCTCCCCACAGCCGTGTGAGTTTGAAAGCAGAATCTCTGCCTCTACTTAGGTCTTTTGAAACTATAGCTTTGGCCAAGTGTATGACTGCAATTTTGTGAGAAAGCCTGAGTAAGAAACTCCCAGCTTATCCACTTGTGGATTTCTGACTCTCAGAAACTATGTGAGATGAGCAGTGTTTTATTTATTTATTTTTAGTTTTTGAGTTGGCTTTTCACTCTGCGGCCCAGACTGGAGTGCAGTGGCTTCCCCGGGCCACTGCAGCCTCGACCTGCTGGGCTCCAGCGATCCTTCCGCCTCAGCTTTCCAAGTAGCTGGAACTACAGGCGCACGCTACCACACCCAGCTAATTTTTTGATTTATTGTAGAGATGAGGTCTCACCAAGTTGCCCAGGGGGGTCTCAAACCCACGGGCTCAGGTAATCCACTCACCTCAGCCTCCCAAGGCTCAGGATTACAGGCTGAGCCACCGAGCCCAGCGTGTTTGTTGTTTTAAACTGCAAAGATTGTTAGGCAGCAAGAGATAACTGATGCATTTGCTGTGCAACTCTTGTCTCTGGCACTCAGCCCTGTAAATTCTAGCCACCTGGCTCTGTCTCCTCAATTCAGCTAGTCTTTAGGGTTCTGTTCAGATTTTCTCTTTCTGTGCTGAGACCAGAAACTGTTTGCAGGTAGTAAGCAGGGGAAACTGCAGTGATCACTTAATTTGCTTCTCTTCTCTCATCAGTTACAATCTTAGGCTGCCTGTTATCCAATGTCTGAAAACTATTTTTTTTTCATGTCTTGTCTGTCTTTTAATTTCTTAAAGTGAGAGTTAAATCTGGTCCCTGTTATTCCATCACGGCCAGAAATAGTTTAAGTCTTGATCTTGATTTAAATGTGAGTTTTATTGGGTACTGTTATCCTCAAGCAACTCAGTAAAAGGGTTCTTTGTGTTTTCTCAAGATTTTAATAATTTTTTGATAGGGGTATTGAGATTAATTTTAAGTTGTGAGAGGTTTAGTTCCAATGAGTGAAGAGAATAAGAAAGCGTTGAAGACATCAAAGCCATCTTTCTTCGTAGAGAAGCCGGGTTATAAAATGCAACATGTGAACACCTTGTGTATAAGAACAGTTGGTTCCACTTACTCTGATGCTTCGTCATTTACCTCTCCCCCTTCTGTCCTTGCTCTGAGAACACAAAAGCAGTGCTCAGTTGACGCTAGCTACCATCTGGTGACATATGTAGTGACCTGTCTTACCAACATATTTTTCCCAGCTGCTCTTTTCTTTCTTCTAAGGTTGGTAATGTACACATATGTCTCAGTCTTGCCTTTTTTTCTTTTTCACAACACACAATGTAATCAATTCAAAGTCAGGTTAGTTCTTTCACATACATACATACTCAGATTCACTTTAACTGATGCTCTTACTTGCACCTTTAAGTCTCTACTAGTTAGAGCACACACATTTCCCACGTCTTTTCTCTCTTGGCCTTGTTCTCAATGTAAGCCAGATATATTATACTGATAGTGACTGATCACCACTAGAATTAATGTTTTAAGTACAGAACAAGGAATTGGAATAAAATACCAAAAATAAATCAATTTCCATCACTTACTAAAGCATCTTGGAGGATTTCCTGAGAATTTCTGCACCTATTTAATGTAAATCATTGAGCTAGTGTGCTGCAATAAAAGATATAAAAATCATTCCTACCTTTTAGAAAAAATTAGAGTCTAGTAGGAGAAGTAAGTACACAAGTCATTAAAACCGTTATTTATAAAAGCCTTTCTATATATAAATTGTAACAGTATTTCAAATGGGAGAAAGAGCAGAGGCACAGCACATCTTTCTGTAAAAATTAATATTAACCTTTAACTTGAGAAATTAGTAGGGGTTATGTATTAGTAGGGAAAAAAAGACAGGGATGGAAACTTACATTGGCAACCTGTGCTTTTGAGTATATTTAACTTAATCATACAGCTCATTTAGTTTTAAGAAGTCACAAATATATTTAAATAAATATGTAAAATTTAATATTCTAAGTTTTACTTTTTGTCATTGTAAAATATGTGTGAGAAACATTTTATTTAACAATATTATAGTGGAGGTGTTTCATTGAAACTAGCTTTGAATTTAAGTTTGCTATACTTAAAAAAAATAAACTGCCTCTGATTTTTTGTCTAGTTTTAAGTCCACATAATTGAGACATGAAAAAAAAGCAAACTGGTTTCTAAGTAACCCAGATATTTCTTTAGTATGTGGAAACCCACATCTTAGTTACTCCAGTTTTAGAGATTTTACAAGACAAGTCTGGAGGCAGAATATTCTTGACAAACTCACCTAGGGTATCTTTGCCTTTGTTTTTAAACTCTGGACAACTGAAAGTATTCTAGGACCCTGCTTATTTAAACAATGGCTTTCCTTTGAAATAAGATCGTCTGCCTCCCTTAAAGGCATAGTAATCACCTTTGACACAGGAACAGAAGGTAAAGCAACAAAGGATGAGATGAACCAATTCAGGGCTGGAATTAAAAACAAAAACAAAATAAAAAAACGGCTTTGCATTAACTTTCATTTCATTTCTACGTGTCTGGCCTAGTTTAGGGGATGCAAATGGAAGTTCAGACCAATCATCCTTGAGTCTGATGTGAAAGGTTTGATGTGGCTAGGGGAAAGGTGTGGAAAAGTGAGTAAGTGCCAGGAAGGGACTACAACAAAGGAAAAAGAGATATTTATTAACTTGCTCCCAATTTATTGTTAACTTGCTCCCAAAGAGAATAGAAATAGAAAAACAAATCATGTACAAAAAATGTACAAAAGGCAAAATAATCTCACCTGGTCTAATATCTTCAAGACTCAATATGTAAGGTTGATTTTCTTAGTCTTACTCCCATTAGTGGGGAGAGAGGGAGAGAGGGAGGGGAGAAGGGGGGAGAGGGAAAGAGAGAGAGAGAGGGAGGGGGAGAGGGAGAGAGAGAGAGAGGGAGAGAGAGAGAGAGCGAACGAGACAGAGAAACTGACAGCACTGATGACTGAGGAGCCAGAGGGATGGGGGGGAGGGGACAAGGGGCTCTGAAAAGTAAGGGTGGCTACTGTCCTGGGAACCTTCGAAGTACATTCCATGACGAATTACATTATCTCCAGGCTTAGAAAATTCCGAGAGAAAAGATGCGAAGGCAAATCAAAGGTCTACGGTAAAGGAGGCTGAAGCTTTGCGTTCAAGTCTGCACTGAGTTTTGCTTTGTGTAATGTGGGAATGGGCAAGAACTTGATGAAAAGAGGGACCCGAGAAGAGCGAGTGACAGGAAGGAGGCACTTCTACCTGCATACACCTCCGCTCCTGGGGGCGGAGGATGGGGGGGGTGGTGGTGGGGGGGTCGGAATAGGAATGCAAATCGGGCCTTGCAGAGTGGCCAATCAGTAGTCAGGTGAGGGAATTTGGGTCCCCACCCCATCCCAAGCCGGCGTTTGAGCACGTGTGCGGTGTTCTGGGAACCTTTGTCCCGCAACGTCACGCTTGGAGGGCGCCCCTTGCCCCCCTTTTCTGGTCTAATGTGCTTGAGCCCTTTCTCCTTCGCACCCCACCTCGCTGATCGCGTCTTCCCCTCATCTCCCTACCCACACCCTTCCGCGCCGCTGTGCATTAGACCTTGAGCACTGCGTCTCGAGTGTGCGGCGCTTGGCACACCAAAGTCGCTGAGACCGTGACACCAGTCGTCGCGCGGGTACAGGCGGCGCACCTCGGCTCGGACACCACAGCCTCCTGCCTGCGCCGGGCAGTCCTCCGCCTGTCCGGAGGCAGCACCGCCCTCCCCGCGCCTCCTGGCCCTCGGTTGACTGCGGCTGTGTCTGGTGGGACTCCGGCTCTCGCCTGCTCGGCCTCGGAATCTCCTGCAACGTCCAGAACACAGAAGACAGACATCACCTAACTC